GTTACTTTGCATAAGTGTGCAGAACTATGATTTACTTCTCGTAAAATCAAAAACAATTACATGTGGGGTGTGTGAATGTGTATGTGGGTGTGTGTGTGTGTCTGTGTGTGTGTGTAAGACAGAAAAAGGAGAGAGATAGGGAAGAGAGAGAAGTGGAAAAGGTCAAATTTCAAATTAGCTATAGGAGAAGCACAGGTATGCAAATCATCTAAAAGTCATATTAATTTTTTTAGATAAATGTGTAATAGAATTACAGCCAGGATATACGTCTACTCTAAGATATTTTGAATTTGTAGTTTACACTTTTAGAAGCATGTGTTAACTTTTCTGTATGACAGCAGAATTGTGAAGATTTGCAAGAAGTGTTAAGCTCCTCAATCTAACTCTGAGGAAATCATATAATTGTGATCAAATCCAGAACAGTATTAGCTAGTTCTTGTGGAAAAATTCTTCCTTGGGGCCATTCTTGAATTTAAGTTAGTCAGATGGCCTTAATGAGTGAGGTTATTCCAGTCTAGCCAGGGAGAGATTGGTGTACAAAACACATTTGGAAGAAATAGACATGCAACCATAAATAGAAATACGTGCTTTTGTGATTCTCAGCAACCAAATCCCAGAACCACAAGTGCACTGTCGGCTCTCATAACTTCTCAGAATATGTATAGAAGAACAAAAGTAACTAAGACAGTTTGGTTCCTAGTAGAAATTAAAAAGATAAACACCAAAATTCTGGCATGCAGAGTCCAGAAATAAAATGATGCTTACTCTGTATGGAAAGTTAATTTGTGATAAACGGATGTATTCAAAGAAAGAAAATAATAAATACGTGATTATTCATTGAATAATTATTTAATAAACTCTGCTAAGGAAAATATGGAGCCACTGGTGTTTAGCTAGTGTGTTTCCAAACTACCTTTTGCCACTGTCAACTACAGAAGCTAAATGTGTGGTCTGTGTGTGTATGTGATAGAGAGAGGAAGAGAGAAAAGGATATGAAAACATTAAATTTCTTATTCATTATAGCAGAAGCACAAGTATGCAATCATCTAAAAGCCATATAAAATGTTTTTAAATGTATGTTTAAAAGGATGACGGCCAGAATAGGGCTACTCTACAGGTCTAGATCTGTTGCCTTCTCAGCTTCATTGTATCCAATAGGAGCCCTTATAAGTCAGACCTTATCAATGAAACATAACCATAAGTCTTTTGGTGCTTCCAGGAAAGTATTTACTTTTCTATAAAGAAGGGAAGATGTGGCCAGATATATTTTTCTGCCCACTTCTTCTTTCTGGGAAATGATCTGATATATCTGATACCCGAAAATATAGCACTGATCTTGTGACAATGAGTAAACAAGCCAATACTTTAAGGATTAAAACTCAAAAACGTGGAAGGAACATGGGTTTTTGATGGCATGATGAAGTTATTTTACCTGTCCTGGACCATCTCTCTCCAAAATTCTTTACTTGAGATCATGAGTGATTTTATTGCTTAAGCCACTAGTATTCAGGTAAACTGTAACAGGAAGCTGAGAATTTTCTTATCTAATACAAACTTTTAGAAAAATTAAGATATGATTTCAGGCCATGCACAAATGTAAACCTAGCTATAATAAAAGCAACACAAAATTCAAGATTAACATTTTTCTTATGCAAAACACAACATGAGCTAAGGCAATTTCTTTTTTTTTTTTTTTTTGAGACAGGGTCTTGCTCTGTCTCTGGGGCTAGAATGCAATGGCATCATCATAGCTCACTACAATCTCAAACTCCTGGGCTCAGGCAAACCTCCTGCCTCAGCCTACCAAGTAGCTGGGACTATCTAGGTGCTTGCCACCATGCCTGGTTAATGTAAAAAGTTGTAACATAAAGGAAAACACAGTGCTTATCCATAATGATGAAAGAGCTCCTACAAATATAATAAGACAAATATTTTAACAGAAAATAGGCAAACACATGAACATAAAATTCACTAAAAAGGAAACATTAATGGCCAGTAAAACTAAATTATGTTCAAATTATCTAATAAACTGGTCGTGGTGGCTCACGCCTGTAATCTTAGCACTCTGGAAGGCTGAGGCGGGAGGATTGCTTGAGCTCCGGAGTTCGAGACCAGACCGAGCAAGAGCGAGACCCCCGTCTCTACTAAAAAAATAGAAAAAAATTAGCCGGACAAGTAAAAATAGAAACAAAAAATTAGCCAGGCATGGTGGCTTGCGCCTGTAGTCCCAGCTACTTGGGTGGCTGAGGCAGGAGGATCACTTGAGCAACAAAGGGAGTCTCTGTCTCAAAAAAAAGAGGAAAGAATCAGAATAAAAATATCCGGAAGTCTTAACTAGCCATTGTTATCAAAGCAT